TCTGAGATAGATACTCATTGCATACTGTCGACTGCAATTAGGCTCGTTGCGACAGCGAACCAAATCCCGGCTGATCTGCTATGGCATGACAGGCTGCTTCGGGTAAGGGTCATAATCACAGGATCAAAGTCACACAAAACCCTTGCCTCTGTACATCGTTCTCTCCTTGTCAATTTCTATACGAGAGCTTTCTTAGCTGGCTCGTCAATCTCTTCTCTCTCAAAGACTTTGGAATCTATCTCCGTCCTAGTCTTTTTTTATTATTTGATCTGTCTATTTATTTGTTTTAGGATCTGTGGAGAAACTATCACCTGTTGTCACTATAACTTTTCTTATAATCATTCAGAATGCCTACCTCGAGCCGAAGTTTTCCTACAGCAGTGATTCTTAGTGGTACGTAACTTCTTTTTATCTTTTCAGTGCTAGAAGGGCTTATAATTTGTGGTTGTTAGTTACATCTTTTTTTCTTGGTTCAATCTTTGTAAACTGGACGTATGATCACAAGACCCTATGGACTCATAATCCTTCGGCTGAGTCGGTCAACTTGTCGAAACAACATTATGCTCAGATTGCTACTGAACCAGCTATAATTCGCAATGCATTTCATATAGTGCTTGGCCTTGGTCTTGTCGGATTTGTTGCGAAACTTTACAAGCCTTCAGAATCAAACAAACTATTCGACGGCGGATCACTTGTGTTATTTATGGCCGGTGTTGTCATATATTTGACCAATATTCGCACCGGGTTTGCAAGTGTCTTGAGCGGAGACTGGGGTGAGGTAGACGAGACTACGGGTATTAATGTTATTGCCGCTAGCCAGGTTATTATTGCGTTTACTCTCCTTGGTGTTTTGGGATTACAGCTTGGTCAGTATTGGGCTGAAATTCAAGATGAAGAAGAGGTGGCCAAGTTTGAGCAAGAGCGTAGAGAGATCAAGGAACGGAAAAAGCAGCACAAGAATAAGGAGGAGTCGGTAGAGGCCAAAAAAGAGAAATAGATTGTGGAATTCTATTAACGAAACTCAATATGCAACATAATACATCGTACTAGCAAAAGTCAAACTAAAAACAAAGCCTATTTAACTATATATTGATACAACCATGTCATTTACTCTGTCTCCGGAACGTATTCGGCGGCCGAAGAACCGCTATGCGTAAGCGAATACTCGTCAAGAGGATCTAAATCCAGAGCAGCGATTTTAGTCATCAACTCTTTGTCAGATTTGTTTATCTCTCCAGACGGCAATCCCACAGTAGGCATGGCCGCTGACATGTTTCGCTGACTAGAGTCCTCATCGGCAAATGAGTCTGTCAGCTCCTGCTGATCACCGATTTTAGGAGCTGGAATCCACTCCGGCCGGGACGCAGCTTTTTCGACTGGATCGTCGCTAGAAGCCCAGACGCCAGGCAATTCGGCATCCACAGAACTGTTAGCTACTGCTGACGAACCATTTATAGCTAGAGGACCGTGTTCCTTCTCACGCTCTTGAAAAAGCTTTTCGTCTTCAATCACAGCATCAGCATAGGTCGATACTAGGTAAGGCGTAGCAGCAGTTGCCCAGGCGTTAGAAGTTTCTGCAATTGATGAAGCCCATGACGAAAACTTCGCTGTAGCTGTTTCCTTAAAGCTGTCAAGTGGCGTGCCTCCTATATTAGGGTAAGTCGGTTCAACAGAACGCTGAAGTCTATCTTCATGAGACTGCAGTCGTTGCTGGTGGCGTCTGCTTGGTGGTCTAACGTGCTGGCTAGGCATCTGCTTTTGTCGCTGAAGCGCGGCTGCTGCAGTGGCCGAACTCCCGATCCCGCTCAAAGTAACAATGGACATCTCTTCTTCTGTTCTTCCAAAAACTTCATGCCACCACCGAATATTCTTTGCATCCGGGAAGATCACCTTATACTCTCCATTGTTCAATTCATTCAACGATTCATTATACTTTGGGTTAATAAATTCCTTCCTGCGGACAACAAAGTAGTTCCACACGCTTTGTGCTCGATTTTGGACGTTGGCATCTAACCTTTCCTTTTCATTATTGTACAAGAACGTGCCGTACTGGCACGAATTCAAATGATAAAGCATCCGACGTAAAAAGCGTTCGTTATACTCGAATCTGTCTGGAAATTGGCAAAGCAGCTGATACACACAATCGAGAAATTGATGAAAAATCGGAGCCGTATATTTGAGACCACGCGTCTGACCACCTCCGCCAATTCCTTCGGCAGTACCGCCATTTTTTGCATTATTATTCACATAACTACTATTGGCAGCCTTTTCAGCAGCAGATTTTGCGGCAGATAATACACTATTGAATGCTTTCTCGGCAGTGCTCATTGTTGCGCCGTTAGAGCCCGATTTGTCAGATACTTGTACAAATGCTTTCTCGCTAGAAAGGTGACCGCATCTCTCTGCAAAGCGATGGCCAAAAGCAAGCCATTCCTTCTCAACTATGGTAATAAAACCATCAATCGTTCGGAAATACGGATCTAGGAAAATTTGAGCCAGCGAAGACAATTGGGCAGTGCGATCCCAGCCATCAGAGCAATGTACCAGTACATGTGAGTGGTAGTAGTGTATTCGCTGTCCCATAAGAACTGCACCCTCCATGACCGTTGAAATGTGTTTAAGCCAGTTACTTTTATGCAGTAATTCTCGATTAGGAGGTAGAGGCGTAATATCGCTATCTCTAAGCGCCTCGTACACCTTATTTAAAGAGTCTCGCATAACATGTATATTGTCGATTCCTAAATAAACTTTTCTTGCAAATTTGTAGTTTTCCATATTTTCGGATCCTGCCCCCAATGCAGTTTGAGCAATTGCGTTGGTTGTTGGTCGCGCATCGCATATTAGGTTTTCCTGCGAAGCGCCATAGACGTTTGCAACCTTTGTAGTGCAAAAAATGGCCTCGATAAATCGCTCGTCTTGAGTCGATCGATTCTGCTTTAAGCCAACCAGAGGTTGAGCACAGCGTGTTATCGAGCAGTTGTTGAGCCAGTGAATATAAGATAACGCTGGTATTCTAGCTTTCGATCGATATTTAGCAGCGTATACCAAGGCAGAGTCAGATATGGCTGAAGGAACAGCAAGAATAGCAGGATATGTTGGGCAGAAATCGAAATTTTCGTTAACGTTTGTTATTCTCCACTGCTGATTCTGGACGCCGACACCCATGCGTTCATATTCTTTGACTGGGTCATAGATATTCCATGTATTGACACTGCGCTCAGCTGAGCCAGGGTGATAAAAAAATGCATACAAATTATCCACAGAAGCTGAAAAAGCAGATATATTAGCGATGGTCAAAAAATATCAAAAGCTTGCTTACCGACACAGGTGAGCGCCATTAAAGTATCAAATACTGCTCGGGAATCTCCTTCAGACTTGAAATTGAGCGCTATAAAGGTAAAGTCACGACAGCGAATGCGCAATGCAGAAAAGCCAGTGAATACACTGAATGGTCGACGCTCAACATGGGCCATTATGGGATAGCAAATCCAAACTTCTTTCGGCGCTCCTCGCGAATTGTCTGGAGAATCAGCACGGAAGATGAGATGGTGCGCAGTCAGATGAAGGGACCCACTAACGTGGTTTCCGCGACGTACTAACTGCACATCGTTGACCTGGTTCATCATGTTAGCGTGTAAAATTCACCAAGGGGGAGTAATTGCTGCTCTAACGAGGACTAGCAGCAATACAATCAGGCGCTGCGCGGCGGCGTCTGTCGATAAGGTCATGTCCGGGGCGCGCGTGCTGGGCGCGCAGCTGTCCATCGCTAACTATCATGCTATATAGCATCAATTGAACTTACAAAGGTAATCTTGATTCTGTCGAGATCATCCATTGCCGCGATGAGGGTGTTAGAGGCTGTCTTTGGCGCAGGCCTCGCTGTCGATGGCAGAGGCAACCGTAGCCGGGTAACTATTAACTAAATAAGAGTACAAATAAGCCTAGGGCAGGTGACGCTGAGTACAAGGTCCTCGGTAATGTGACCAGAGCTGACTCCCAACCGTTGCTCCCAAGCCACCACCCTGCTCCTCTCCCTCTCGAATCTGTATACCTCCCGATATAGCCGTACTAAGTTCGCTTCCAGATTTTGCTCTTGGGCGTAGGCTTGCGCTTATTGCTGCTAATGGGTCTCAAATACAACGTATTTCTGGAAGATAGTCGTGTCTACGGCTGCAAGGCGTGCAACACTCATCTCTCCAATTACCATGACATAATCTCTCGAGTGAGTCTGCATAGTTGCTTCATTTTCTCCACAGATTCTAATTCTATTGTAGCAATTTCGAGGCCAGCATGGCAAGGCGTACTTATTTGAGAAAGTGTATGATGGGTACTGCTCTAAGTTTGTAGGCTGTTTGCTAACTTCCTGCCAGTGTCAATGTGACGGAAGGGAATCCCGAAAATCGAACGATGACTACAGGCGAGCACACTGTCCGTGACATTCATTGTCGGCATTGCAATGCTTGCGTTGGCTGGAAGTACGACCATGCTTATGAGCCGTCGGAGAAGTATAAAGAAGGGAAATATATTCTTGAAGTGGAGCTGCTTTGCAACGTTAAGTGATAGATCTCACTTCGCTCCACTTCCATTCCCTGCATATTCTCATTGCATGGACTAGTGGTAGTCTTTATGGACTAGATGGGGGGGTTTTATTTCGGGCATTCCATTTTGGGTCTTTTGTTAATTTATGTGTTGCGTTTGATTTCCCTAAGGATCGCGCTTTCTCACGCACACATGTATCTATTTAAAGTCGGCGTTGGGTTATTGGAATTAAATGTATGCTATATCTGCTGCGTTGTTATCTCTTTCATTTGGTGGTTTGTTAATTTAACTGGTGCTAATAAGGTTGAAATGGCCTGCTGGAAGCAACTAGGTGGGAGTTTAAAGTTATTGCTTACCCTACTATCTAACAAGATAGGCAATTGATTATTATTAAAATTAGGTATATTATGTAAATGACTGCAACCTTAGGCTTGTTTTAAATTTACTTTAGATAGAGTGACGACAGCTTGGCCGAGTGGTTAAGGCGTTTGACTTGAATTTTAATTCGAGTTCATCAAATGCGGTTCCCGCGCGTAGGTTCGAATCCTGCAGCTGTCGAAATTTTTTATTTTTTACAATTTTAGTCAATTGTAATAGAGAATTGATCATATTAAGTCATAGTTTGAGATTCTGAAAAATATTAATGACCCGATAAAAATATTTCATTGGCATGTACACGTTTCGTTAGGCCATGATCTGGTAGTCGTATCGTCTCTTTTCGAGAAGGGTTTAAGTTAAATGTCAATGTCGTTAACGGATGACTGCTTTAAATTTGAGGAGACCAGGGATGAATTAGATGGCTATTGACACAAATGAGATAATTGCTTCAAATTTATATAGCGAGATTGCAGTCCGAAATGCATGATTAAGGATCAAAATCTTGAGACGACGTATTTCGTTCGGAAAACATGTGTAACTACGCAAGAAATTATAGCCTTAGTGACCAGTAGCGCATTATCAAAAACTGCAATGTTTGAGCTCCGCATGACCCGATCACAGCTACGCAATAAATCAGTTAACATAATAGGGGTCTCAAAACTTAAGATGATTCGAGGCATGTCTCTTGAAGCCATATTGCGCGGATTGCTGACAAACTCAATGCAAATCCTCTGCCGTCTTGCTGTCATGGTTTTATCTGAAATGAATTCATCAGGCGCTTCTTATAGTATTGTGCGGTGAGTGTAATTTCACACATACTCCATAGTCTGCGGGCAGTGGGAAGGTAAGACCATCTAGACTGTATATGGCAGCTATTCTTCTCCAAACAAACCCCAATTGACAACCTCTAAACTCCCGACAACTGCTGTCGCCAATTTTCTCAAAGCATCAGTAAGATATGCTTGCTCTTCGCTCATAACAGGATGCTCTTGAGTATCATGGCCAGAATTTAGAGTGATTAGTACGTCTGTCTCGATAGGAGACTTTATCCGCACGACAACGAGAGCCAGGGAAAGATACATAGGCTTTGCTGACATTGTAGTTGCCCATTTTTGAGCTAACCGCGAGTCGACTATTAAATATGACAAAGCTGAAGGTCTATAGAGCGGTTATTATCAGGCATGACGTAAAAAGTCAGGTCACATACAGTGCTCGCGGCGAGGCGATAGAAGTTACCAAATCCTCTCTCTTATCAATATCTTCTCCAAATCTATATCCAGGACTATTTATTTCTAATATTTCATCAAGATGGGACAGTACGGCCAATTGATCAGACTCTTGGACTAGGCGCTCAACCAACTCGATGATAATGCTGTCGTCTTGCGAAGTGCTTGATGCTGTAGAAACAAAAACTTCTTGATTATCTGGAATTTGGCGGAGCTCGCTTGCATCAATAAATCCATCGGGGATCGATATTCTCATGGCCCCCCCGAATATTGGGATGTTTTTCAAAGGTATTGCCATAGTGGTGGCGGAGAAGCTTGAAGCAAATCAAATACAATAACAGAAAAATAACTTGGCGGCGCTGGCAGATACAGTTGGGAATGTACCTCCTGAATTTTTAATCCTCAACCGACTTCTCTTCCAGTTCCGCTCGACAAGCCAGTTATGTCAGTTACTGTATGTATAACCTAGCTGAGATAGAAAACATATTCAATTTGTTGAACATTCTTTTGTAGCTACATACAGATCTAGGCGATCTGAAACTAGAGCTTTTCTGCGGCTCAGTGCCTAAAACATGTGAAGTAAGTATCGCAAGTATTTAAAGCTACTTTGACATCGTTTAACAGCATGTGCTAGAATTTTTTAGCCCACTGTGCACAAGGCACGTATAATAATACAAAAATTCATCGAAATATACCAGGATTTATGGTGCAAATGGGAGATCCGACCGGCACAGGCAAAGGGGGAGAATCTATATGGGGAGGCAAATTCGATGACGAGATTCGACCGGGATTGCGCCATAATGCACGGGTAAGGCACTCAGGTTTTTATCCAGAAGGATTGTAAATATTCACATGTATGATATGATAGGGCGTGGTATCAATGGCAAATTCTGGCCCCAATACAAACGGAAGCCAGTTCTTTATAGTACGTATTTCTTCCTGCTATGCAAGTTTGTAAACTGACGTATAATTCAGATTTACGACAAGCATAACCATTTAGATGGAGCATACACAGTTTTCGGCAAGGTTATCGATGGCCAGGATACGACACTAACAGAGCTAGAGAACCTAAAATGCGACAAAAAGAATCGCCCACTTCAACCAGTTTATATAAAAAACGTCACGATCCATGCTAATCCTCTTGCCGAGTCGTGAAGTATTTAATATGTAAGATATTGAGACATGTAATATAGTTAACGGACTTGCAAATAATCCTAAAATCATGTATTGTTGTACAAGGTAGGGCTTATGTAGCACCTGAAATACTATCAAAAATTAGATCAGCACCCGTATACTGCTGGGTAGCGTCATGCTCTCCTTCTTTCCCGTTTTCAGGCAATTCCCGTTGATAGCGATCATCCTCTGGACCTACATTAGAGAGTTCCCGTCCATTTCGCTCGGCTTCGTCATACCGCTTCAAAAAAATATAAACTTGTTTACGCGTGACGCTGGCGAGCTCGGATTCAGTACCAGCTTCAGGACCAAGTTCGCGAATAGATGAAAAAATTTCGGAAAGAGGCTTATCGCGGTTTCGCAAGATATGTGCCTTGACTTCATCCGAAAGATAACGGCGTCTCGTTGCTGGGCCGTGAACAATCTGATGAGTGTATTTAATTACGACACTATGGTCAACATAAGAGGCCGCGAGAATGAGACGTCCATGACAATTATAAAGCTCTCTTCGAGCACGAGCACGTTTGGCGGGCTTGAAAGGGTTTCTGTTGTTGGATGTGTCGGCAACTTGAGAGCATACATACTGAATTCGGTAGCTTTTTGGGGACTTTGTACGAGCGCGACGAGCAAAATAGTAACCAGAGATATCATAGATACGCTGGATTACTGTTTTGAAAAGTTCCGTTGGCTCACCGCTGATGCCTTTAAGCATATCGTCAATAGTAGTCAGTCCACCGTCTAGGGAAACACTGGACTGTAAGATAAACGACTTTTGGTGGAGTGGAACGTGTGTCAGTCCTCCCGTGATCTCAGGATCCACAGTGATGGTGTGGTCGTCGTCAATAGCCCTACCAGGTGTAGGGAAAAGACGAACCAGGTCTGCGTAGTCTTTAATGATGTAAGGATCAGCACCACTACCACTGCCCATTCCACCTCCATTATTTTCTGTAGCGTCGCTAGCGGCAATAACACTGCCGCCAGTGACTGAGTTGCCACCCCCTAGCACGCTAGTAGCAACACCCGCGATTTCTGATTCTCGCTTCCGCTTGCGAGTGTCAGACGTGTGCTGCCTACTTTGTTCGCGGCATGACTCGCAGAATTTGTAGTATCCTTCGCGACCTGGTGGTTTTACAAACGAAGCGTCAGGCTTACGCGATTTGCATCTGTTGCAAAGTCTTGCAGATGATGCCAATTCATTCTGCTGTTGCTGCCGGTGCTGTTGCTGCTGGTGCTGTTGCTGTTGCTGTTGGAGCAACTGCAGCTGCTGGGGCTGAAGAGGGACAGGCTGTGAGGCCTGCACAGCTTGAGCTAGCGCGCGCTCAGCGTCATGGACACGCAGAGAAGAGGAGATTTGAGCCGAAGACTCGTTGAATGCAGGATCAGTCGCAATAGTAGCGAGAGCTGCCTCAGCCACGCTAGAGTCAATGAGCATATGCTCACTCTGCTGTGCCGAAGCCGATAAGGCACCGTTCGCGGAAGAAGGGGCGTTGAAAGAGGCAGTAGAGGAAGCAGGAGGACGGCGGACATGGACGGGGGTTGCCGTGATAACAACCTTTTCCTGAGCAGTCTCAGAGGATTGTTCTTGATGCGACATTTGCGTTTTTCAATATGCAGTTAAAGATGGGATCTGGGAAGGAAAAGGATGATTAGCTGGTGATAACAACATCATAACACAGCAAACAGCAGGACGATGTGAAGAGACATACCACGACGGTACCTAACACCGACTAACGGATCAAATAGCTGGGGAGAAGCAGCTGTGTATCAGAGTCGCGTTCTCGCAGGATATACACGCGTCTGTAAACAAAGTGAGGGTTGGTTACACTGGACTGAGGGTGCTGTGTAGTTCGTGAAGAGTAAGAAACTGAGGCGTTGGTGTTGCCATGACTTGGATAATGGTTAGGGTACAGTCAGGTGGAAATAGTTCTACACGTGATCAATCTGGACGCGTCTCAAAATGTACTTGCAGTAATAATTGGATTAAGCAGACAAATAAAAATGGGGAGCAATAAAGAAATATAATATAGCAGGTCTATTAGATTAGCAACGTCTAAATGTATATTTGTGATATCATCGCTCTTTGCGCGACTCGGCAACGACAATAGTTTTACATGGCTTCTTCTCAAGGTTCGTGAACTTGCTCGCATAAGTGTTTCTTGGACGCAAAGCAAGCCAAGCAGCGTGTTCGTCGCTTACAAAGTTCCTATAGTGCGCGGTATCTTTAATGTAAAAAGCTCTGAAAAGCGGCGAGTCCAGCGCAAAGTCTACAATGCCAATTTCACGCAGGAAAACGACAAGGAAGAAGTACAGCACTGCGAGGAGGACCCCGACAATGTAGCCGACGAGAACTTGTTTGGTAGTATGGTATGAAAGATATACCCGCGAGATGCACACAAGAAGGGAGAGGATGTAGAGGCCAAGAGCGCGGTACTTGCGCTTAAAAGACGAGAAATGGCGCGCTCTGTACTAATCAGTCAGTGCCAGCTTTCTTTTGATAAAAGACAAACAGCGCACCTCAAATACATCCACAAGGAGATATAAGTCGCATTGAAAGCCATAAACTGAGCATGCGCCGAGGGCATGCCGTAGCCAAATTGCGAACCATCTGTCTCGATTAGCCACAATATATTCACAATATATTCACAACACGCTCAGACTTACATTGAGGCCGCTCTTGAGCCAATAGCCACTTCAGGATTATATTCGCCGCCTCACAAGCTGTCTGTCCGGCAAGCACGAGCAGGGTCTCTGCCTCGCGGCGACTGAGGATGAGAGCAACAT